TAGTAGTATAAATAATAGCATGATTTGTATGCGATAGTTGGTTTTTCGTGAAATACCATTCGTGATATTTCGAAATTGTCTCAAATTTCAGTCGCCTAACGGCTGGTGAAATTACGTATAACAATTTCGAAATATCACTCGTGGTATTTATTCCAAATATCACTACAAATCATGCTATTTACTATATAAATAAAATCATATCAAATAGCACAGACAAAACGCAAAATGGTCTAGTGATGAATTACGAAATAGTTTAAGTAATTAAGAAATGATCATTCTTGAAATAAAAATAGTCTCAGTTCTTTTGTGTGAAATGGTTCACCCAAACTAGAAACGATTTGGTCATATGAGAAGCTGTTCACTCCGAGGAGGTTGGACTGCAGTTTGCAAAGATTTACGGGAGCAATTTCGACCAATCACGGTTGAGAAAAGCCATCTTTCTGCAGCTCGTGAGATCAATATTCCAAGCATAGTTGGCCTCAATAATTTCGTTTTTTTCTTCGTTTTCCGTCATCGATTCGTTACGAAATTCCTCTGCTGGTTTAGCTGGGCCCTCTTGATTGTATTGATAGGAAAATCTTTAAAGTGAGTGGATTTTTAGGGTTTATTTTCATCGTGGTTTGTTCGACATTCCAAAATGGCTGCTTAAACTTGGGTGTTTTGAGTGATACAATTTGAAGAAAATATGGATCTTCCATTTTGTACTGTTTAGTGATACATTCAGTTTCAATTCACTCTCGGTTTTTACTCTGCACTGTAATATACTTTTATGGAATTTATTAAAATGACCCCCATATAACGCTCCCTTACCTGATCCTCCAGAAAGGAATCAAGATTGATATAGCTCCACAAATTTGCGAAGTCTACAGACCTTCACAGGTGGGTGGTAAGCTTGTGCCCTCACCATACTTGTAAACGCCTTTATGATTTCACGACTTTGTAGACCAATATCTCCGCTCGCTTTGGACCTTAAAGTAGCTGTAGCATCCCTGCCTAAATATACAACAGTCCCGGCTTTTATCAGGTTGTAGTCTTGTTTTCTTTCTTTTCTTTTTTCTTTTTGGTTCTTTTTTACTTTCTCTCCCCCCTCCTCCCCTCCCCCTCTCTCTCCATCTCCCTCCCCCCCTCCCCTTAGTTAACTCTTTTTTGCGGGCATGAGGTGGTAGGATCTTTGGATTATTGCACGATTCTTCTCATGGGTGACTTTAATTCTAGAACAGGAAAATATTGGGATTGTGTAAGCCAAGAAGGAAACACCATGATTACCAATGATCAGTCCCATCTTTCTTCAGGT